TATACATATACATATACATATACATATACATATACATATACATATACATATACATATACATATACATATACATATACATATACATATACATATACATATACATATACATATACATACACATACATACATACATACATACATACATATATATATATATATATATATATATATATATATATATAAGAAACGATACTAGGAATCTAGGAGAAGAAGGTAACCAAGCTAAACAAAGGAGAGGTTAAAAAAGAGAAACTATATACAAATAAAAGCAAAGATAGGTAAATCCTTCTTAATACATCCCCTCAAGCCGGAGCATGTAAGGAATAAATAGCTCAACTTGCAAAGAAGATACTTGAACTATTGGCGACTCAGAGCCTTTGTAAAGATGTCTGCGAGTTGAAGGTGGGACTGAACGTGAGAGGTAGGTCTTATAAAATAATTATGGAATCATTACTAAATTTTGGCAATTTGTAAGTGTCAATATGGCAGTGATCGGTTCTAATTATCTTTCCTTGTACAGCTTGCTTCCTTTCAAAGTTCAAATTCAAATAGAATTCTTGAAGAGCACCTAAATCTTTGATTTGAAATTGACTGCCCATATAGTTTTAAACACGAGTACGTGCAGATGTGCTATTCCCGGCACCCACGATGCTGTTGACATATACACGAGGAGCCATGAAAACGTCACCCTGTCTAAAGGTGAAGAGAGTGTAATTGGTCTAAGATCGCGGGAAGCCAAAAGCCCTTAAAGTAGAGTATAATTTGGCAAACCAGTTGTGGGGGGTTGAGGTAGGGCGTAGAGAGATTTTTGTTGTCCTTGTTTACATGGCATCCATAATAACAATGGCCAGATTTGGTACGGCCAGAAAAGGGAGTAAGAGGGTTGGCGCGTAGCAGAAGATCATTTTCTACATAGGGGGCGGCGGCAATGAGTATTCTGCGTAGGCATCAGCAAGCGCTGACCTAAGCCACCATGTAGGTTATCTTTTGTGGGTCGTAGATTTTCTACTGCTGTCAATCAAGTATTTATATTTCACTGGCCACCGTTACTGCCATCACTATTTCCGTTATTATTTCCATTCTAGCCCTCACTAGCACTCTAGCTAGTAATCATTGTCGTCACTACAGCACATGACATTTCATTGTGATGCTGCTACACAAGAATCAGGTAGACAAGATCATGATGTGGGATTTCTGAAACTCATAAGATAGTTGCAATGAAGGAAGCACATCTTTTTGGTCTGGCCCAATTTTATGGCCTATTTTTTAGTATGAACACTGATCTCACTTTCTATGGAAGCCAACGAATGATCACCGACTGTTTGATATCTTCTTTGGCCTAGAACTTTCCTTTTCTTTTGTGGAGATTAACCGACATAGTCCCTTATAAATAAAGAGCAGGATTCCCAGGCAGAGAAGGTAGAAGAACATTCAGAGCCATCGAAGATCTCTCAATCCGTATACTGTAGCCTTCGACACTCATTTTCAATCTCACGCCATCTCCATATATTACACACACATTTACCTCAACACCTTTAATCCCCTATCCTTATACTCTTGTATTTCTTTGTAATTTAGAAATTGTGAGAGTTTGTCATTCCCATTCTTACTCTAATTTTGGGCTCTTGTTATAATATTTTAATATTCATATGTAGTGGATTATATTTTCTATATTTGTGTGTTCCCTTCTAGTACTTATCTTGCGTTATTCTCTTTCAAGAATTTCTCACTTGCGCTTCTGCATAAGCTGAATTTCCTTACAATATCATGACAACATCTTGACATGGCAATATGACACTACAAGAGCACCTGAGCATGGCATAGCAGTGCTTTGCCTCGAAAAAGATTGCGTCATTGATTGAAATGCTTTTAGAAAAACACATAGGGTAGAGGGTGATGATGGTTGCAACTTGCAAAGAGAGAAGAGAACCACATGGTGAAGAAGGATACTGGTTCTATGGCGACATATTTGGCGTAAAAAAGAACAGAGTACGATCAGAGATGAAAAGAGGGGAGGAGGGCTGACGCGAGGAGAGAAAGGGGGGAGGTACAACATCCTGGGAAGAGGGTTGATACGGTGGGAGGAGGGCCAGTTTTGTGGCCGTGCAAGGGGAGGAGGGCTATTGTTGTTGAGTTGGGGTAGAGATATTTAATAGTATTAGATTAGGGGTAGAAATCAAACTAGAGGTCCTATTTAGGCTTTTGATCTTTGATTTCACTTTAATTTCTGTGTAAATTTCTTCCCCGCATAAATATCAAAATAGAACCACATCTTCATATAAAATAAGCGTATAAAACTTCACAAAAATAACAAATCTAATGTGAAAAACTGACCTGTAAAGAAGAACTCGGATATGCCTCTTTAAAAGTGATGTCAGGGTGTTAAAGTTTTTAGTTTCAAATGCAGGCAAAAGAGTCAAAGGCCTGCAGTGTGTTTCATATATCAATTTTGTTATATTTAGCACGTAATACCCATATTATTTATTTTGTTCCAAGTTCATATACATGAGAAATTTCCCAAATAACCCTATTTTATGTTGAGAATTTTCCAAACATAGAGATGACTAATGGGGAAATATCTCAACCATTGGAGTATTATAAATCAAATAGAAAGTTATTACAAATACCCGGCACAAGAATCCCAACGATATGGTAAACGAGTCTTGTTGGCATGCAAAGCCTTTTGAACTTCTGGTTTATTCAAATAGACCGATGTGGCATCAGAAGGGCACTGATTACAAATGACGTTTCCCCTCATCCGCTTCACAGTAAAAAATACTTTGAAATGATACGGGAAACTGCATAAAGATCTTGATCAAGAAAAAACATTATTGTACTAAGATTCACTTACACACATTTTGGATACACACATTTGCAAGAGGAAACTGTCCACATTGAAGTCCGCACCCAACTCTGCGTTCAACATAGCTGACATTTTCTTGCATCCGTTAGATAGTTTTCCACGGTGCCCCTCTTGAATAGCTCTTGTTTGGCTACATACTGTCTTTAGAATAGTGTATAGTTCTTCAGAAATTACTCCATGGTACCACAAGATATCACCCTCATCTATGCCTGGAGTACCTATACCAAGGTTCCCAAGCTGAAACATTTTATTAATAAAAAACTGAATTAATTAATTATCTTTTGAATGTGGAACACTTTCATGTGAGGTAGGTCAGTTGAAATGTAGGAAAAAACTTACAGCAATGCCTTTCAACTTGATTGGTGTGACATTGTTTTTGTTGTATTCAAGCACAAGTGCCGCAAGTTGTGGTATTAAGTGACCTGTAAACATTGGTACAAAATTTTAAAACATTATGTCCTATAGCTTTTTCTAAATTTTTAAATGGATACGTCAATATATTGTTCAAAGTACTGTATGACATGGCAAAAAAATGTTCACCTTCGGAATCATCTCCAGCCAAGTAGAAATGTAAGTTTCTATATTTTGGGAATTCCTCAAACCACTTGAGGAGAAATTTCATGTTTTCATTCACTGTGTAGTGGGTTTGCACAAGGATTAGAAAGAGTAAAAGTCATATCTTTCAGTTGCAATTAGAGACTTAGAGTATATGGTCACAAAGGAGTTGTACTCTTACCTGTCATGGTATAATCCCATTTGGTATAGTCTGAACTTGTATTAGAGAATGAAAAACCAGTTCCAACAGTGGAGTCTACATATAACATATTTGACTCTGCATTTACAAAGAAGAAATTGTTCAATGCATTGGAATTCCAATAAGAATTAAAAAAACATCGAAAAAAAATTCTGCATCCTAATTTATTTTGCTTGTTTGATTTTTTAGTCAGATTTATAAACTTTAATCAATTTTACAAATAAAATACATTTAATTAATCATGTTGTATTAAGAAATTAATTTAACCAAAACTTCAATCTTGTGTTTTAGGACCAAGAAATATTTACTCTTTGTCTCAATATAAAAGTTCAATTTACTATTCACATAGTCAAACTTTGTTCACTTTTTTTCTACCAATTTTTGTTGCTCATTTAATAAAATAGTAATCATGTCAATTTTGTTAGGAATCAGAGATCAGAGGTGGTCAAGCGGAAGCGAACAAACACACACACAAATAGCAGAAAATAAGAACACGAGATTTAACGTGGTTCGTTCAGTAACCTACTCCACGGGTTGCAACTAGGGTTTATCTTTTATTAGGTGCTCACAGATTATAGTTACATTATGTGGGTATTTATAAGATATAAATTAGGGTTAACAACTTGCTAAACAAGAAACAACTAATGGGCCCTTTAATTAATAACTAAAACCGGCCCCCCATATTTCTTCTCTTTAAGCGTCCGGGCTTAAAGCCCAAAGCTCTAAAGCCTTCACTAAATAACCCAACAATCTCCCACTTGAAGGATTTCGCATAGACACAAATGCCATCCAAGTAAACCCATCATGAGTAACTCAATAATCTTCACTGTCAAGTCCTCCAAGCCTCCAGTTCCCAAGAACAAGCTAAGACTCCAGTTATATCCCCTAGTTGCAACCACCCCCTTCATTAATAACCTGAAAGGAAAGTTGAAGCTCCATCGAGCTCCAACCCAGTCGTGACTGTATCCGCCACAGCCTCTGTCTCAACCGGCTTGCACAATCCATCGGATCCAGAGATACACCGAGGACCATTACCACTCTCCAAATCCAGCAAACTATTCCCAGGAGAGATTTTAACGTTTGGATTCTTGGTCCTCAAAACCCAACGACGTTTCAGAACTGTACTCGGAACACGTCCCATGCTCCCACTATCACGAAACCCCTGACCTGATTCAGACCTCCGAACACACTCAACTGTCATCCCCAAAACTCCAAGATTCACGTTTGCAAAATGAACCTTCCTAGCTTTGCCCGATTCAGTGAGCCCGACTTTGTTAACTGTCTTTACCGGGTTGGTCACTCCCTCAGACGTCACCAGTACCATGTATAACGATCCTCTTTTCAAGCCTCGAGCAATAACCAAATTTCCTTTGATCACCTTCCATTTTCCACCACCAAACTTGACGTCTAGTCCCTGTTCATCCAATTGTCCGACTGAGATCAACTTTGTCTTCAGTCTTGGAATCACCCTGACATTTTGTAAGCTCCAAGTAGTTNAGCACCAGAATCCATGACCCAAGAGTCAACATAGCTTTCCATGCTGAGTATCAATGCATCACTATCATCATCAGATGCATTCCCAACAACTGCGCTAATTTCGTTTTTCTTGTTTGGGCATTGACTCTTGACATGCCCAACTTCTTTGCAGACCCAGCACACCACATTCTTTCCAGCCTTAGACGAGCTCTTCCCACGACTCCCACTGTTTCTGTTATTACCTCTTCCCCTGCTAACACTGAGTAACCCAGAAGTAAATCCTCCACTAGCGTTCCTCCGGCGAATGTCTTCACCCAAAACACTATCCCGTATCCGATCAAACTTCAAGTTTCCTGTCCCAGCAGTTTCAGTAACCGTTGTCACAAATCCCGACCAACTATCAGGCAAGGAAGATAACAGAATCACGACCAACTATCAGGCAAGGAAGATAACAGAATCACAGCCTGAGTGTCATCATCGAACTTCATGCCTACTGATGACAACCTTGACAAGATCGAATTGACCTCATTAATGTGATCAGCAACTGGGCTGCCCTCGTTCATTCTCATCATGAACAATTCCCTCATCAAGAACACTCTATTACCGGCCGACGGTTTTTCATACATATTTGATAGAGCTGTTAACATACCACGAGCAGTTGTTTCCTTCATGATATTAAACGCCACACTCCTCGTCAAAGCTAGTGTAATTTTACCTATTGCCTTTTTGTCCTTTGAGTCCCAAATTGCTTCAGCAGCCTTATCCATTCCATCCGGTTTCTCTTCCAGTACCATGTCCAAATTGCACTCACCAAGCAACGCCTCTATTTGCATTTTCCACCATGCAAAATCAGTACCGTTGAACTTCTCGATTCGAACCCTCCCGTCCTCGGCCATTGCAAAACGAGAGAAAAAAAACCAGAGAAAAAATCAAGGAATAACGGCCTGAAACCAAGCAACCTTCAAAAGAAAACAAACCCTAAAACAAAGAACCCGAACCAACGAGTACCAGGTCCAAAACCAGAAACCCTAATCGCCAAGTTCACCGAAAACCGACCAAGCAGCCCCTGACCAGATCCGAACCAGCCTCTGATCAGATCCGAACCAGCCCCTGATCAGAGGGGGAGGGTATGATAGGGTCGGGCCTAGATATATCACTACTCCACAGGTTGCAACTAGGGTTTATCTTTTATTAGGTGCTCACAGATTATAGTTACATGATTGGGTATTTATAAGATATAAATTAGGGTTAACAACTTGCTAAACAAGAAACAACTAATGGGCCCTTTAACTAATAACTAAAACCGGCCCCCCATATTTCTTCCCTTTAAGCGACCGGGCTTAAAGCCCAAAGCTCTAAAGCCTTCACCAAATAACCCAACAGATTGTTCATCTTCAGACTTCGAACTCCCACTGTCAGAAGCTACCTCTGACTCATCATTTCCACCGACTTCAAACTCTGGAACTGTGTCGACAATTATTTAAGTTTCTTGTTCGGAAACCGGTTCAGGAACCAGCTTAGCTCCTTGTTTTTCTGCTCCTGTCTCAAAGCTCCTGTCTCAAACTTAACCTGGTGTTTCTGAACCTTAGAGTTTGATTCCTTTCTCTCTTTGTACAATTCAGCCTCATTGAACGTCACATGTTTACTTCTGACTACCTTTTTGCTTTCAAAGTCCCAAAGCCGGTAGCCCATCTTGTTTGACCCATAGCCAATAAGGGTGTACTTCTTGGCCTTTGCATCTAGCTTATCACCATCTTGATTCAAATCATAAGCACTACACCCGAAAACCTTTAGGTGCTTATAATCAACAGCTTTACTCTTCCATTCTTCTTGAGGTATTTTGAAACCCAACGGAACTGAAAGTGATCGGTTGATTAGGTAAGTAACAGTGTTAATTGCGTTTGCCCAAAACATCTTCGGGAGCTCTGCATTTATTCTCATACTTCTGGCTCTCTCGTTTAGAGTTCTATTCATCCTAGGCTCTAACACCAATTGTTAGGAACAAAAGCACACACACAAGAATAGAAAGCAAAAAAGCATTAAAGAACACAGGAGATTTAACATGGTTCGGTCTAATCTGACCTACATCCACGAGGGCAACTAGGGTTTGTATTATTGAGTGATAATGATTACAAGCACAGGAGATCATATTTATAGGCAACTAATTAGGGTTTAACCCTTGCTGAACAAGTTATAGCAAACTGGGCTTAAAACCATTTGGGCCGGCAGAACCCTAATCTGGTCTCCTAGTTCTAAGTTGTCTACAATTGGGCCACTTTGGGCCGATGACTATACATCACCAACAATTTCAAGCTTGGAACTTGGCAACCGTTCATCCCATAGCTTTATGTACTTCCATTTTCTATTAATTTAAATGATCTTGCTACTATAGTAAAACATCTATGTAGGAATGCCAGGTATAAGTAAAACCTTTATAAGTAAAACCTTTATTTGTACTCCCTCCGTCCCACAAAACATTTCTTGTTTGAAAAAAGGTATACTTTAAAAATGTGTAATTTTGATGTTATTTTCTAATTTTGCCCTTATTTTATACTAACTCCATCCCTAAAACATCTTCCCTTATTGACTTTTTGAAGATTTAAAGGAGGGATATTTTTGTGTTGACTTTCCAAAAATACCCTTGATGTGATGGGTAAAAGTAAGATGCGATGCATAGATTATTAGTAAAAAGGTATGATGTGATATGTAGGGTATGAAAAAGTAAGGGGTAAAAATATTTTTTTAATAGATAAGGGAACATCTTTTGGGGACAACAAAAAAATGAAAGGGGAAGATCTTTTAGGGGCAGAGGGAGTAATAGGGTAGGATATAATGTGTTGCATAGAAAATTAAAAATTAGGAAATAACACCAAAATTACGCATTTTTAAAGCCCGTCTTTTTTTTCAAACAGAAATGTTATGTGACACGGGGGGACTATTAAATTATTTTTGTTCCAACTTAGTTTTTTTACATATGCAACTATGCATGTATACCATCTGAATTGGAATATAGCTGGTTTAATAATTTTGTATCGAGGTGTATATCCTTTTTAAAAGTAGCTAATTATTCTTGAAAAGTATCCAAGGTGCCAAAAACTGAAAACACATTATTAGTTCCCCAAACTGTTTATGCAACATCTATAGAGCCCTATTTTTTTACTAGATCTATCATCTATTACATTGATCATTTTAAAGTCTTTCTAAACATTTGGCTAATTGGATTTAATTGCCGGATGATGCATCAACACTATCTATTAAAAAGTTTTGTTTCATCCTGTGTGTATTTTCAAATTGATAATTTAGTTATCCTTTGTCATGAACTGATCAATTATTCATTGTATTCGAGCATAAATAATTGGTCATCTTGGATAGATGTGGGCTTATGTTTCATTACAAGTCAAATAATTTAAATTTTGTTCAGAAGGGCTTAATGTGAAAAATCCAAAAGATTCATGCGTTCGAAGAGACAGGCTTGGAAAGTATGTGTGTGCAATAGAAATGCTCATGGCATAGGCAAACTTCATGAAGAGTATTTTATGAGATGGAATGGGTGGCATAAGCTCATGATGAATTTTCAATGACACTTATGTTATTTCATCTAGCATAAATCATTTAGAGTTGCTCAATTATGGCAATGAATGCCTTTCCTTATTAATTACGATTGTGGTTCTTTAAAAGTAAGACAACAACAACAACCCAGTCCGCAATAGCAGGGTCTTGAAGACATGTTGGAGTTATAATAACTTAATAAGTATTATTGAAAGCTTTTTCCATCCAACTCATCTTCCCTCTTAAAGCACAATGCATGAATCCCATTGCCTCTATGACCATATGATAGAGTAATTCATCTTCCACAAGCTCATAACCATTACCTTAACAAATAAAAATATCAACTTGGTTCTCGCTGCCGACTTTATGGGAATTGATATTACCCATGAATCCACTTTCAAATAGCAACAACAAAAGAAGCCCAGTATAATCCTATCTTTGTGGGGGTGGGAGTGGAGAGAGTAGAGAGAGAATATATATGAATGAAAGTGTACCCTCTCCCACGGATGGGGATGATACTTGAGCATGAGAGGATGATGGATGAAGATGGGACCATCTTCTCACCAGACTATAGGGAGGTTGAGTCTAGCCCAAAACGAGTGGCCCAACGAGGCAATGTGGAATAAATATATAAGACAATATATATGCATATCCCACCTAGTTGTGCCTTTTCCATGGGCAGGTGAATCAAGATCATGGGCTTAGCCCAAGCTTGGAAAAGTCTTGGCCCTGCAATATGGCCGATGCCCAACTTCTACTGGCCTAACAAGCCGTGGCCTGTCCTCTGGATTGGGATCAAAAGCCAATAGATTCCAACCCCGTGGGATCCATCAACAACCTTACCTCTTTAAAAAACATAAAGATGAAGTTTTTATTAAACCGTTGATGAATTGCTGCATTTACCGCCAAAAGCTTCACAGAAAGTAAGAAGCAAAGGAAGTTTAATGTGCCATTCTGATTCAAATCTTTGTTTGAGTTTGCTCCCTATAGGCCCAAGGTAAGAAACTTCATTTATCAAAGTTCTGCCTCCAACTTTTCCAGTTTTTTCCACCTCCGCAACTCCAACTATCAATGCGTCCCACACCACGGCCAACACTACCTGCAACACCAATGATGCAGCCTCCGATTGGGAAAGCTGCCTAAGACTAACCACAACTTTGACTTTTAGGATCCATTTTTGTGCGTCAAAATCGTCCCATTTGACCATTGTCTTTCACTGGTCATATCTAAGAGATGGTGCTCATCTTTGCTTTAGTTTAACACTACAACAAACTTACAATTTCCTTTAAGAATACAAGGATCACTGCCACTTTCTAATAGGGCAATTATTTAGTCCCATGTTTGAGTTCCCAAGCTTGACAAAAAGCTTGATCTCATATTCTCATGGAGCAGTGTAATCTTACGAGCAAATTGTAATTTGTGGAAGAGTAATTTGCGGACTTGCATTATACAAAAATGAATCAACATCATAAGATCACAATGATTTGTTTGATTGGCTTTCTAATTTAAGTTATGAGTGATGGGCTGTTGGTGATTGAAGAAGATATATTGCTATTGTCTATGGTGATAGACTACAAAGATTCATGGGCCTTTACTACTATTGTCTGTGCTCTCTCTGCCGGTGTTCAGCTAATCACTTCATCTTTCTGCTGCAGTTTTTGCCTTTGTTTTGTTTTCAAATATGCAAGTTCATCGGAAGGCTATGTCATATCAAAAGTTGCTTCAGTTGCCGCGCAATTGATGAAAAGGGGTTGGTAAGTGTCTCTCCATCTTAGTGTCTTGCCACCCACAGGCCACAAGGTATATGGTGAGAGCGGATTCAGTTCTCATGAAGTTGACTTTTCTATGACCTACCTATAGGCTGGAATTTGTAGCAGCTGTTAGGGAGGCATTTTTCTCCGAGGTACCAAAATATGTTCATAAGTCTTGATTCTCTAATGATATTTTAGACACCATGAATCTTACCTTTTGTAGAATTGGACGAGATTAATCACATTTTTCACAAATCAAGACATTGAGCCAACCTTTAAGCCCCATTATTTTTATTACCACCACCTAAGTCACTGTCCTCACAAATCAGTTTTTATATGTGGCACCTATGCAGCTTATAGTCCACTGTTTTCAACATATTTCCAGTTTAGTTAAGTACATCACAGTTCAGTTATTTTGTGTTGTATTCAGACACATGTATGCATTTTTCTTTTATTTTCCACGCAAGAGTTTGTTCCTTTGAACTGAAATTTACTGATCTGAATATAAAACTGAAAGTAATGATAATTTTGATTGAATAATGCTGAATTGGTTTATTGAACTGAACATAATTGAGATAAAATGAAGTTGGAAAGAATGCACTCTAGGCTTTGTAGGATGCCACAGCATATAAAAACAGAGTTTTGTATCAAGTGACTGGATGGTAGTATGATAAAAACAATAAAGCTTATAGGTTGGTTCAAGCTTTTTGAAAGGTGGGGTTAATCTCATCGAACTCTCAAAAGGTTAGATTAATGGTGTCAAAAGATCCTTCTTCAATTTGTTATTTCAGCTTAATCAATGCAAGTCTATGATTCTGCAGGGCTTTGTCCCATGTTTACACACACAAACCACAGAACCTTTTTTTATTTTCAATAAATAGATAGATGGTTACACATGT